TAGACGCAGTACTCATCATATTGATCATGATTGGAACAGGGATTCTACACAGCAACGACGACATTCTATTTCTACTCCTGATGTAGAAGCATCAATTGGGCGTTCACGACATATTGATGATATTTATGGTCATCGTGACCTTAGAAATCAATTTGGACATCTCGGAGTTAGACAAGAAGATGGAAGGGGAACTCAACATTGGCAACCAATATGCCAAGTACCATATCCTTATTACCCTCCTCCAAGTCAACCACCACCACACATCTATCAACCACCTTATATGGAAAATTGGAACTACTCTCAACAACCTCATCAATATCCATATATAGAGGGTTTCAATTATGGTACAGGGGGGCTTGCAATGACACAACAACAATCAAGTAGCAGTGGCAGCAACAACACTACTTATGATCAATGCACTTTCAATAACTACTACCATGAATATCAATATGGAGAAATAGGCCAACGAATTCATAGTGATGATCAAAGTGATGTGAGATATGGAGATTCTTCTGTACCACCACGTAATTCTTTTTATTACTAAGTTTTAGAGTTGTTGATTTGTAGTAGATTGTTTGTATGCGATTATGACTGAAACGAATGATTTATTTTCATGTCCCTCTTTCTCTTATTAATTTGTTGTGCATGTGGAAGTATTTCCTTGTTGAAAATAAGTAAAAAAATATTTCCACATCAATTTTATATTAAAAGTTTAACATATATGCCAAATAAAAAGGTTGAGACTAAAATAAATACATATCATTTAGTTGAAAATGAGTCAAGAAAGTGCCTCTACATATCAAAATTTTGATTAAAATGTGATAAATTAAGGCTAAAAGAGTCAAAAATGCATAAAATTAAGTTTTAGATGGATTGCTAATGATTTTTGAAATTTCACAGCCGCGACGCCCGATACCCGCTACGTACCGGTCGATACTACCGATACCGATACTCCGCGATCGATATCGTTACGTTACCCGATACCGCGATTTAGAACTATGGTCTAGGGACCAAGATCATCTATCATTGGGTGAATGCATTACTCAGATGTTGCCATTGTATAGGAAAGTGCTATGTCTATATTTGGCTGCCAATACTTGCAAATTATTTATAGGGAAATTTTTTGAGCAAATTAGACAAGGGATTTGAGAGCTCCCTAATAATTAGCAAGATAGCAAGGACGGAAAAACTTGATTTAGAAAACTTGATACTACTTGGTTACTTGGTATAAGATTAGAAGATAACTTGATACTATTTTGGTATAAGACTACCACTACCTAGGCTAAACGAGTCAGAGTTAGACAGGCTAGATAGTCGGGTTAAGTAGAGTAACAAAAATTAGATAGTCGGGTTAAGCAGAGTAACAAAAATTATAACAAAAAGGATAAATTACACCTAGTACTCTTCTACTTTCACCAAAATTTCACGTTTGTTCTTTTATTTTCAATTGTAACAGTTAATTTCATACACTTAGGCCTCGTTTGGGAACAGGCTAATTTAGTAATTTTTTGGCTATTTGGCTAAAAAGGTAGGTAAAAAAAACTTGTATGTTTGGGATGACTTTTTGGCTAATTACGAAAAGATGTGCAAAAAGTAGAGAGAAAAGAGAATCTTTGACTTTTTGGTATGGGTTGTTGGCTTTTTGGCTAATTTAGTAACTTTTTGGCTAATTGACTAAAATAACCTCTTGCCAAACGAGGCCTCTATTGGCTCCCCGTACAGGATAGGATAATCTCATATTTGTAGGACTAATAGTCCGGAACAAAATTTTTCAAACAAACAATAGACTATTAGTGCCCTTGGTCCTTTGC